GGCTCAGGGGGAAATGTCCATTTTGGCTCATTGTGTAAGTTACTTAAAAAACAAAGGCTGTAGATTATAGCTCTTTTTCCCATTTCTAACCTTACAAATAGCAGTGATTACAACATGCATATTTTAACTCCTCAAATCATCACCAAAAATCAACGTACTAACCAAAAAACAGTTATTTCATCTGTGAGACAAGTTTCAGGCATTAAGTTTCTGATAATACCTAGCGAATTCTTGCCAGCTGCTTTTCCCCAGGAAGGCTAATTCAGTTCAGTGATCATTAAAAACTACCAATCAATAAAAATATTAGGAAAGAAAAGAAGAAAATTAAGTGTTCTCTCTTCCATGTTATATCTACTTGGGGAAATAAGATCTATATTAATGGCACAACCATGAAACATATCCAAAGAAAAGGGCTGTATAAATGAGTGACCAGTAGATTGAGAGTGTTTATGTTAGATATGAAAGAGATTCAAATAATGGATTAGTTGAAATAAAGAAAATACCATAGATTCTTTTGTCAGAAGTTTAGGATCAATATTCTATAAATGACAAGTTTTAGTCATATTTTATAGCTCTAATCCCCCAAAACCCATAAAAATAATGGAACAACAGATTTCAGAAATTTTTTCTTCCTTTGATCTTTTGGCAATCCAATAAAGCCCATCACAGAACTGAAAGTATATTAAAGGAAAAAAATTTTAATAATTTAACTTCCTGAGTTACCTGCACCAATGTTTTTTCAATATTCATAAACATTTCAACGTTACGATCCATTCGAGATGGATTCTGTAGATCAAACCTACGCCTAAAAGAGAAGAAAATCATTAATTTGTTCTCTACCTTAAACAAAAGTGAAAACTTAGTTTTAGCACTCAACAAAAACGAATTTGCAAAGATTCAGAAATTAAAATAGCACTCTAAAACCATATGAGGGTATTTTCTCAGTAGTGTAAGAAAGCAAGGTCAACATCACAAAATATTAAATGTTGTGACATTAAGATCCACTCCAGTCAAAATGAAGTACTAATTCCATGAAGTATCCCATTACCCTTAAATCTAAAATATTTTACATCATAAAGAATAGGAACCCACAGATCTAAAGACAGTGAACTACTATACCATTCTTTAAGTGTAAGGAAAGTTTATCTACTTTATATGTGCTTCAAAGTCATTTGTTCAAATTCAACAGTGTCTGTGCTCTCTTTGAGCCTACTATTGCCCTAAATGTGGTAAAATTCATCTATTTACCTTTTCTCTTTTCTTGATGTCTTTTTATGTAAGTACCCAAGCATAACATTCTGCTATTGTCTGCCTATTCTCAGTCACTTCCACATGATTCTGAATGTTTCTTTTTCCCTATTTTTTATTCAACACTAACTTTAATTTTGCTCAGTGATTGAGAGCGTGTGCACTGTGGAGTCCAATTGCTTTGGGTTCTAATCCTGACCCCATTTTTATTTATGTAGTCTGGAGTGATTTACTAATCCAAGGATCAATTTCTTCATGAGTAACAATGGCCCATAAGGTTTTTGTGAAGGTTAAATTAGGTATACATGCTAAGGGCTTGAGACAGTATTTATGCTTAGTCTCTAAGTGATTAATCAATGTTAAACTACGGTTATAACATTCTTAAATCATTACTACCATGTGCTAGCTAGGATTAGGCAATCTGCGTCTAGAGCTCATGCTCTCTCAGATCATCCTGTTTTATCCTGGAAATGCTCCCCACACTTCCAACCATTTTTCCCCACTCTGCAGCCTTTCTTGGATGTCACTACCTACTCCACGGACCTGATACTATCACCTCCAGGGCCTATCACAAGCCATTTTCCCTACGAAGTTATTCCTGTCTTCTGTCATGTTCCTAATATATCCTGTGCACACTGCTGTTACGAGCCCACAATAGAATCATCTTGTTTGTAAGACATCTCATTTGATGCCTTCAGAGCAAAGACCAGGTTTTTTGAAAATTGTCCTATGTATCCTTAGTGGCTAACAGAATGTGTGGCTTTATAAAGCAAACCATTCAGGAAATTTTTATTATGACTAAGGTCTAATATTTATGACTTTTTCATTAGTGTGCTAGGACAAGACTGAAATGTTTCCTGAAGAATTCCAATTCGGAAATTAAGCAAAGTGTCCACTAAAGCCCAGAAACAGGTAATTCAGAATAGAAGTAGTTGCAGCTTCAAAAATGGCATGTACATGTAAGAGGGACCTTTGTCCCAAGTAACTGTATCTTGATTTAACCTTGGTACACAGAACTTTTTCTTAAACTCCATTTTTGGGGTTGTTTAGTATTCTCCTTCCCTAACCTCTTCCAAGCAATTTCCATTAACTGGCAGAACTAAAGAAAAACACACGACTAACTAGGACAACCCTATTAGAGCAGACAGGGGTTCTTTCAGCAAAACAAAAGGAGAGACATGTGAGTGTCTCCCCTTTCTAAAGAAGGGGTCACAAATAGGCTTCTGATAACAAAAGAACTATGTCTAAAAATGTCTCACTTCAGAGTGGCTTACTTAACACTTTACCCATTTCGTTATTCATAAACTGCTTCCTTACTAAATAAATAAATGAGGCTGATGCACCTGGGTGGCTCAGTCAGTTAAGTGTCCGACTTCGGCTCAGGTCATGATCTCATGGTTCGTGAGTTCAAGCCCCGCGTCAGGCTCTGTGCAGACAGCTCAGAGACTGGAGCCTGCTTTGGAATCTCTGACACCCTCTCTCTCTGTCCCCCCCTCCCCCGCTCATGCTTGATCTCTGCCTCTCAATAAATAAATGCTAAAAAACAGAAAAATTTAAAAAATAAATGAGGCTAAAGGAAATTATCTCTCCTAGAAATCTGAGAAATAGCTTGAAAGTAGCCGTTAAACAAATTAAAATAGGGTTGCCTGGATTTACCTGCAAATGAAGATGAAAAGCTAAATGCACCTGGTAATAGAGAAAGAATCAAGAATTTATTCTAGCTTTCTGATTATTGGTGAGTTAAATTTCTCAGTATTCCAGCTAATAAGTGAAGAAGGAATGAGAGAATAACAGTCTTACAAAAAATTACTAAAATAAGGAGCTATATCTATACATTATAATATCTACCTTTAAAAAAATTTAAGTGTTTTATCTTAGAGACAGAGAGAGAGAGAGAGAGAGAGAGAGAGAGAGAGCGAGAGAATGAGTGGGGGAGGGGGCAGAGAAAAGGGGAGACAAAGAATCTGAACCAGGCTCCAGGCTCTGAGCTGTCAACACAGAGTCCCACACAGGGCTCGAACTTGTGAACCACGAGATCATGACCTGAGCCGAAGTCAGACACTTAACCAACTGAGCCATTCAGGCACCCCTACAATATCTCTTTTCTATTTTTTTTTTCAAAATATGAACACTACCACTGAATAACATTGTAATGACAGCATGATTCTAGGCACTGAACATCAGCTTCTGTCTATTAAAGCAGAAACAAGATATTCTATGTCTCCAGAGAAAGGAACACCACAGTGTCTATGAAGTACTGTTGCCAAAAACAAAACAAAACAAAACAAAAGAAAATCAGACTAAGCTTCTAACTACCACATTTCTAGAAATTTAGAAAGACTATGGTAAATAATAAACTAGGGACATATCAGCAAAATCTAGAACACAGAACATTCTATAAGAAAATTTGTTTCTGTAAAAAAAAAAAAAACAAAACTTGGAAGGATAAGAGCAAACGGAAAACTATTAATTTTCTTAAAGAGACTTAGTCATATCAACCAAATGCCATATATGACTCTTGTTTGAATACCATCCATGAGATAATCAGGGTAACTTGAACACTAAGGGGGTATTTAATAACACTGAAATTTTTTTTTTAAGCTTATTTATTTTGATAGAGAGACAGAAAGAGCAAGCAGGGGAGGGGCAGAGAGAGAGGGAGAGAGAGAATTTCAAGCAGGCTCCATACTGTCAGCGTGAAGCCGAATGCAGGGCTTGAACTCACAAACCACGAGATCATGACCTGAGCCAAAACCAAGAGTCGGATGTTTAACTGACTTAGCCACCCAGGTGCCCCTATAACACTGAAAAATTATTGATAATTTTCTTAGTTGATAACAGTACATTATTATGCTCTTCAAAAAAGTCCTACGTTTGGGTGCCTGGGTGGCTCAGTCGGTTAAGCGTCCAACTTCGGCTCAGGTCATTATCTCCTAGTTCATGAGTTTGAGCCCCACATTGGACTTCTCCCCATACAGCAGGGGTCTGGAGACTGTTTTCAGTGTGTCTCCATTCTCTCTGCCCTCCCCGCACTCTGTCTCTCTCTCAAAAATAAATAAACATTAAAAAAAATAAAAAAATAAACCAATCCTATGCTTTTTTTTTAATTTTTAATTTTTTATTTTTTATTAAAAATTTTTTTTTCAACGTTTATTTATTTTTGGGACAGAGAGAGACAGAGCATGAACGGGGGGGAGGCAGAGGGCAGAGAGGGAAAACGCAAGTCGGAAACAGGCTCCAGGCCTGGAAGCCAATCAGCCCAGAGCCCGGCAGGGCTCGAACTCCTGTCGACCGCTTGAATCGTGACCTGGCTAAAGTCGGACGCTAACCGACTGCGCCACCTGCGCCACCAGAAGCTAATTTTTTTTTTTTTTAACATTTATTTATTTGAGACAGAGAGAGACAGAGCAGGCTGAACGGGGGGAGGTCAGAGAGGAACACAGAATCTAAGAAACAGGCTCCAGGCTCTTCAGGCTGTCAGCACTGGAACAGATCGACGGGGCTCGAACTCACGGACCGGGAGATCATGACCTGAGCAGTCGGGTCGATGACTTAACCGACTGAGCCACCCAGGCGCCCCCCCTATGCTTTTTAATAAGGGTACCTGGCTGGCTTAGTCAGTAAAGCATGTGACTCTTGATCTTGGGGTCATGAGTTTGTCAAGCCCCACGTTGGGCACAGAGATTACTAGTATATCTAGATGAAATTATATAAAGGAGATGAAAGTAAATGACAATTCACTGTATTATTCTCTCTGCTTTTACATATAGTTTATATTTTCCACAATAAATAGTATTTTCTACAATAAATAACTAAAATGGTTTGCCAGACAATGACTTAATAACATGACAGATGAAAGCTTTCCTGATTCAGCAGCATGCTATGTAAGCAAAAGAGGTATTTGTGGCACCTGGGTGGCTTAGTCAGTTAGGCATCCGACTCTTGATTTCGTCTCAGATCATGATCTCATGGTTGGAAGATCAAGCCCCGCATCAGGCTCCATGCTAAGTGTGGAGCTTATTTAGGGTCTTCTCTCTGTCTCTGTGCCCCTCTCTCCCTAGCTCATGCTTGCTTGCTCGCTCTCTCCCTCTCTCAAATAAATATTTAAAAAAAATTTTTTAACTAAAAAAAAAAACCTGAAATGAAGTCAGGTAAATATGGTATAACCTTTAGTTGAAAGATTTAATCTTACTTTGAAATTAACAAGAATATTTAAATAAGCTTTACTTTTTACAATATAGAAATCTAGATGCTCAAACTTACCCACAAGAGAAATACAAATTAAAAAACTAAAATTATAAAGTCTTTTGGGGCTTGTTTTTTTAATTAAACAGGCTCCACGCTCAATGTGAGGTTTGAACCCATGACCATGACACCAAAAGTCGCGTGGTCTACTGACAGCCATCCAGGCACCCCCCTACAAAGACTTTTTGAATCTTAATGCAGCCCTATAGAAAAGGCAACAAATGAACATGTTTCTCTCTAGCTTTTAAAACCTTTGGTCATGTAAAAAAATAAATAATAAATAAAACCTTTGGCCACTTAGACTGTAAATATGAGCTGTCCACTGAGAATTTAATAATTAATGAGTCTTCTGCTTTGTTTTCCTCTGGCAATCTGCTGGGCAATGTCTCCTAGCAGCCTTTCAACCTGAAGCATTACATGCTGTGTCTAAAGGGCCTTCATTAGCTGTATTGCTCTCATTTTGCTGACTCTTGTGACTACAGTCAGGGATGCTCTCTTCTCATTCTCAGCTACATATAGAAAATCCAGTCTGAATAAAAATAATCAACAATGGATCCTGGAGAATGAGTTTAACTCCTGCGAGAGGGGTGTGAAGGGCTTCTGAAGCAAACTTCTAATTTTTTTTTTTTTTTTTTAACGTTTATTTATTTATTTTTTTGGGACAGAGAGAGACAGAGCATGAACGGGGGAGGGGCAGAGAGCGAGGGAGACACAGAATCAGAAACAGGCTCCAGGCTCTGAGCCATCAGCCCAGAGCCCGACGCGGGGCTTGAACTCACGTACCGCGAGATCGTGACCTGGCTGAAGTCGGACGCTTAACCGACTGCGCCACCCAGGCGCCCCTGAAGCAAACTTCTAAAAGGCAAGACAGGATGCCTGGGTGAGGGGATGGGCGAAATGGGTGATGGGCATTAAGGACAAGCATTAAGGATGAGCACTGGGTGTTACATGTAAGTGATGAATCACTAAATTCTATTCCTGAAATCATTATTACACTATATGTTAACTAACTTGGATTTAAATTTTTAAAAAAATGGATAATTCTTCACAAAAGATCTAAACCATGTCTGTGCTAAAATGACAATCTCACTGACCAACATTTATCAAAATAAGGCCTGAGGACCACAGAGAGTGCTTTTTGAAAACGCAGATTCTCAGTTTTCACACCAAACTTAGTAGTTAATAATGTATGTCATGAAGCCCAGTCATCTGTATTTTTTAAAGATATTTCAAGTGGGGGCGCCTGAGTTAAGCATCCAACTCTCGATTTCGGCACAGGTCATGATCTCAAGGTTCCTGAGATCGAGCCCCGCAGGGGGCTCTGTGCTGACAATCAGAATCCCCTGCTCGGGATTCTCTCTCTCCCACTTTCTCTGTCTCTCTTTCCCTCTCTCACACACATGCTCTCTCTCTCTCTGATGAAAATAAACCTTAAAAGATAATAATTAATTAAAAGTACTCTGGTGCACTGGGTGACTGAGTCAGTTGAGTGTCCAACTTTGGTTCATATCATGATCTCATAGTTCATGGGTACAGGCACCATGTCAGGCTCACTGCTGTCAGAGCAGAGCCCACTTCAGATCCTCTGTCCCCACCACCCCCCGCCCCTCCTCCTCTCATGCTTACACTTACTCTCCCAAAAATAAATATTTTTTTAGAAAAAGGAAAAAAATAAAAGTACTCCAAGGGATTCCTGAAGTTTAAAAGCCACTAGCAGAGACTAACTTTTTGTGGTAACATCTGAAAAACAAAAATCAAAAGGAGACTTTAGGGTGTGGGGGAGATAAAAGCCGAACAACCAAGTCTTAAGGTAGAAAGAAAAGTAGGTCTGAGCTTGTCTGCAAGAAATGAAGGTCAGCAGCAAATCATGTCATAGGGGGAAAAAAGGCCACTTCTAAAGTTAAGACACAGCCTTAACTTTATGCTAAGCCTGGTTCACTACTGCCAAGCAAAACTAATAAAACACAGGACGCCTGAGTGGCTCAGCTGGTTAAGCATCTGACCCTTGATTTTGGCTCAGGTCGTGATCTCAGTTTGTGGGATTGAGCCCCGGGTCAGGCTCTGCAATGCTCCCCTACCCCCTCTCTGCCCCTCCCCAACTCGCCTGTATGCACTTTCTCTCTCAAAATAGATTAAAAAAAACCAAAAAACTAACAAAACAGGTGAACCTGGTGGCTTAGGTGGTTAAGCGTCCAACTTCAGCTCAGGTCATGATCTCACAGTTCTGGATTCCAGCCCTGCATCAGGCTCTGTGCTAATAGTGCAGAGCCTGGAGCCTGCTTCAGATTCTGTGTCTCCCTCTCTATTTCTGCCCCTCCCCTGCTCAAGCTCTGTTTCTGTCTCTCTCTCTCTCTCAAAAAGTAAATAAACATGTAAAAAAAAAAAAAACTAACAAAACACAAACAAAACATTTTCAATCAATAATCTCTTTTGGGACACCTGGGTGGCTCAGTCAGTTAAAACGTCTAACTCTTGATTTCGACACAGATAGTGATCTCACGGTTTGTGACATCAAGCCCAGCATCAGGCTCCACACTTACCTTGGAGCTTACTTAAGATTCTCCCCCCAGCCCCAACCCTCCCTGCTTGCATTTGCTCTCTCAACAAACAAACAAACAAACAAACAAACAAACAAACAAAAACAGACACCCAGAAAGATCAAACTCAAACACTCTGGAATCTTAATCTGTGTGGTCTATTCACAGAGATGCTAATAATTACCTGGTGTTTCTACTCAACCACATAAATGATACTCCAGCTGGACATCACTGAAAGCTAAAAGACAGCAGGAAGCAAGAAAGAACCAAACAGAAACAAGAGGCAGAGTGTTTGGCTGAAAGAAGGAAATGAGCAAACTCTGGAGCCAGACTGTGAGGTTCAAGAGGACACAAACTAGGTTCACAGGGCTAATGCTGTGTGTGAGGAAACTTCAGGCACTGTCAAGTTGACAGGCCATTCAGACTCCAAATGGGTGGGTGGTTACTAAAATATGTACTGTCAGAGTGTAAGAGATCCATTCACTTCAAGTGTGTAAGTCACAGGAGGTGTGGAAAGGTGTGCATTGCAGTTAAGTGTCTAATTACGCCCCAAAGGGGAAGATTTTGGTACAATCTGAGTAAAAGTTTTGGGAAAATTCTTATTCCTCACTCCTCTTAAAGTCTCTTAATTTTATCCTTTCCTTCTTTTTCGGACCTTCTTTTAATTTAAGGACATTTTATTTTACATATCCTTCTAAACCACCTCAAATCCTTCCACATGAAAGTATTCTACACTGACACACAAAGCAAGTTCTGTAACATGTGACTTAGGAGAAGTCATTTCACTGTGGGACTGTCCTCTTCGAGTCCAGGTCAGGATTTGGGACACAAGCTGATCAAGAAATTAAGAAGAGAGTTCCATCTAGGAATCTAGAGCAAACAGTAGGGAACGGACCATGTATGACAGCAGTCAGACAGCCTGTCAGTCCTAGCTCGGGAACACCCTGTGAGAGTTACAGTACCACAGCCAGAAGCAGAGCTGCAAAACAGAAAGCTACTTCCGATGACAACACCCTCATGCTCGTTTCCTCAATTAACCAGTATTAAACACCCACCTATACATAAAAATTTCGGCAGATATACAAATTATTGTAAATAATTTACTTATAAACTTGTACTACTTATTGATGTGGACACTTATTTACATTTCCCAGCCGTAAAACACCGGATTAGCTTAACTTTACAGGAGTATTCTCCTGGAAAGATGCTAAGATTGAACTGCGCAGAGACAACACAACTAAAACCACGAAACGACTTCGAGTCTATATACTCCAGCATCCCCTTACCCTCTGCCAGAGAAAGGACTCCCTACCCTCCCTGAACTCAGAACCATCACCCTGAAACACTCACTAGTCTCAGCAGCTCAACTTCCCACAAAGAGATGGCAAAAACCCCAGAGTTCAAGAGAGAAAAGAAAGCAAGCACCAGAGAGACAGTGTGAGAAAAGGGAAAAAGAAGAATGTAGGGAGAAGCAACAGTAATTCCCCTCCTTGCTGCATCACTGCCCTAGTAACCATGCTCCGGAGCCAGCTTCCTTTCATCCCTATCCTGAGGACACACATTACACATCTCTCATTCTGAAGAAATGTTCATCAGCAAAGTGTTCACCATAGCAGTTAACATTGCTATCTTTCGGGGGTGCCTGGGTGGCTCAGTCGGTTGGGCATCCGATTTCGGCTCAGGCCACGACCTCACAGCTCATGGGTCCGAGCCTCACATCGGGTTCTGTGCTAACAGCTCAGAGCATAAAGCATGCTTCAGATTCTGCATCTCCCTCACTCTCTTCCCCTCCCCTACTCACGCTGTCTCTCAAAAATACATACACATTAAAAAAAAAACTATCTTTTGGCACAAAAGTTCACAATACATGTTCATACATTTCACAATGAGCCTACCTTCAAATTTGCTAACAGTGCACATTCATCTATTATATAGATACAACCATACATGAGAAATAACTTACCTAACAAGTGCAACAGTTGTCTGATATTTTTCCTGGATGTAGGAACAAAGTAAATTCAAATACCAGATAAAACTTTCACTTTGCAAATTATAATGTGCTTATAGAATTCTCTAACATCACACAAAGAAGAGGATTTAACATTAAATAACTTAAATAACACATCAAAACATACAAAGTAACACAAAAACTTACCATCCCTGTTCATTTTTATACTTGTAAGCAGCCCCAAGAATGTGACACAAGGTGCCTCCAGCTTTGAAATCCATGAAACATTTTGCCTAAAAATGATACAAGTTACACATGAGAAAAATAAAAGTTCTGACAAGATTACTCTGAGTATGTCTGAATTCAAAGTTTTATAAATGCAAAAGATATCAACAACTGCAAACTTAATAACCTCCTTAAATAATTCCTGGAACCAAATAAGGTTTTATAAAGAAATTTTTCCAAAAGTGGATTAAAAATTTTTTTAATTCAACTAACATTTTATTCTTTAAGCAAAGTCACTGAAAAACAAGATTTACAACAGACAAAATGTTTCAGCAGGAAACAGTAATGGACAGAATAGTGATATACTACAAATTCCGTTAGTAAATGTAAAATCTGATTTTTTGGGGTGCCTGGGTGGCTCAGTTGGTTAAGCGTCCAACTCCTGAATAATTTCAGCTCAGGTGATGATCTCATGGTTCGTGAGATTGAGCCCCGCATCAGTTCTATGCTGACAGTATGCAGCTTGCTTAGGATCCTCTCTCTCTGCCTCTCCACTGTTCACTCTTTCGCTCTCAAAATAAACTTCATTAATTAATTAAAACCTGATTTTTAAAATTATAAAATTCTAGTAACAATTTCCAACAACAATTTTACTATAGAATAAGAAAATATTAGTATATGTTAGACTTTTTTCCCCAATTCCTGACTTTAAATTATACAAAAATTATAACTGAACTCTTGCTATAATATTTTAACGACCACTGAAACATGGTATAACTATAAATTATATGTAAACCCATAGCTGAAATCTGTACAATTTCAGAGAAGTGCACTTTATGGATTATAAAAGTAAAGCTCAAATAGTTTAAATGCTGAATGACTTCCATATTATGGAAGTAAAAGTTTCATATAAACTGATCATCAAATAGGCTAGTAAGATGAAAATATTAGAAATACACCATGCAAAGGCACCTAGGTGGCTCCTGTTAAGAATCTAACTCTAGGGGTGCCTGGGTGGCTTAGTCAGTTAAGTGTCCAACTTCGGCTCAGGTCATGATCTCATGGCTTGTGAGTTTGAGCCCCACGTCGGGCTCTGTGCTGACAGCTCAGAGCCTAGAGCCTGCTTTGGATTCTGTGTCCCTCTCTCGCTCTGCCCCTCCCCCACTC